CCCCCCAAACTGTAGCCCCCTGTGCGAACAATAAAGTCAAAGGAACCATACCCCTACTCGCGACCCTTCGCGATATATAAGCCCCTGAAATAATAAATTCCTATTACAAATATACTGAAGTATTTATATTGTTATATTGACCAAATAATAATTTATTGGCCAAATGAATAATAATAATTTATATTGTTAATTTAAATAATAATTAAAATTGTTAATTTAATTTGGTGTTTGAAATATGACACACGATAGGGGCGCCTCTAGTGTCCGTTATGAAACGGTTACGGGACGGACACGAAATGAATGGGTTATATATATAGATGTTCATTTTCAACATAGTCACAATTCAGAGAAACACATTATATCAAATATTCAGTTCACTTTTGCATTTCATGCATAAAATATCTTTCTGGTTCTCTTTGATCCATTCCTATATGACAGTTTTAACTTTGGCATCCAATGAAAAGATCTAATAGTGCCAGATATTGACTGTAAGAAGTATACAGAACAATTTGTTTTTCAAGTTCTTAAGTACCGTCTGTTTCTCTAGTGCACTTTTCTGAAAATTGCACTTGTTGCAAATAACAGTATTACTCAAATCTTTAAAAATGCAGTAAATTTTAATTTCAAACATTTTTGGTCATCTTAAATAACCTTCTTTGGGACAAAAAGAAACAAATTTTGGAAAATTTGCTTCCAATACCAGGAGTCGCTCTGGAAAATTTTTAAAAATTGCCAACAATTTTGCTAGTTTAAATTTTTTTTCCACTTCAAATTATTTATTGCCACCAGTTTACTTACTAATTAATGCAGATTCTGGTAGCCCTTATCAGTTTGGAGTCTGGAAAGTAAAAGTAACTTGTTAAACTTATCACTTATGAATAAGAATCTATTTGAAAAATTATTTAATAATTCTGAATAACAATTTAATTTCAATGCTTTACTCTACTGAAAACAGATCAAAGTGAGAAAATGTCACTCTAAAAAACTTCCCAAACTTTCTGTCAGCCAATAAAAAAAATCCCCATCTGGCAGTTTTCTAAACTGAAGACAGTTTTCTTACAATACTGCCCAGCATTTCCAGAAATGCTGGGCAGCATTGCATGAAAACTGTCTTTGGTTCCATCACTTTCTACTTTCTTGCTCAAACTTTCTGTGTGATGTCATGATATTGTTAGGTATGTGGTGCACAGGACTCCAATTAAACAGAAGCTCAAAATTATGCTGGTTTTCTAGAAGTGCACTTCTGGTCGAATTTTGTGCTAAATATCAAAATAAGTGGATTAAAATTTGTGTCACCAAGTGGTAATTTTAGCACTATGCAGATGACCCCTGCAATAATTCATCAAATTGATTTTTTTCTTCTTTTCTGTGCAACCTTCCAATGGTAACATTCAACAAGT